CTTTGCTGTCCCTCATCGAGTTAGACAAGCGAGTGGGGAACCCCTGAGAACTATCTGTCCGGGGTGGGGGTCGGGTCCCTTTAAGCACAGCCCTCGGCTAGCCTGAGACATCAGCTCCACGCTCTGTGTCCTAATCTGATGCCCTGCCGGCACTGCTTCCGGCCATCCTTAACCTCGGTTCAGGGTCCACTCAATGTGGACATGCTAGTTCGAATTAGCAAAATGCTAATTCGAACTAGTTTTTAGGTCTAGATGCACTAATTCGAATTAGCTTAGTTCGAATTAACTAATTCAAATTAAGTTAGTTCGAATTAGTGCTGTAGTGTAGACATACCCTTAGAGACTAACAAATAAAGTTATAGATAGATACAGATATATCCTGAGCTTTTGTGGGCAAAACCCATTTCCTCAGATGAGCAGAGGGAGCAAAAAGGAGGAGACCCTCACAATTTATAACAGATAAAGAAGGGAGAGGGGAAGGAGTCCCCCCTTTTCTTTCCACTTTGCTCATCTGAGGAAGTGGGTTTTACCCAGGAAAGTGCATGATACTATATAAGACTAACACAAATACCTCCCTCCCCCAGAGACACTAAAGCAAATCCTTTGTAAAATTCTAATGAATAGTTAACCACTTTGGGGGACAATATTTGACTAGAGCTGATTATCATCCTTATCTATCTCCCAGGGGAGCTATCAGCTTTGTTTTGCAGATAAGAAATCAGGCACAAACAGGCTAAGGGGTTAGAGAGAGTCAATAGAAGAGGTGGGTTTAGAACCCAGGAGCACAGTTCTTTGCAGTGCCAACTAGATCACTCTGCTCTCTGCCCTGCCTAGGTCCTAGCAGAGGCAGTTAACTCCTGCTCGCAGGAGTGGGGAGATATGCAATGTGAAGGCCAAGTCAACGCCCCTTAAAATTCTCCTCTCCTCATGCCCAAGCTGGGACGATAACGCTCACACTTACGTCTGTGATAGTGGAAGGTCAGTGGTGACCCTAGAGGGGTAGGTAAGTACTGTAAACCTAAGCTGGTTACATTGACTCAGCACCATAGACAGGGATCAGTAACAAGCTCCAGCTTGAACAGGCACATCAATATCCCAGTGCTGAATTCAGCACAAATGGGGGATTTGCAGCTTTAGCACAGAAAGGCTGAGTGACCTCTAATGTGCTTCAGCTCAGTTCGGTGGGAAAGGCAAATATGCCCTGCCATGGGTGCTCCCATTTCCCACTTGGGCAAAGTGGGAACCCAAAGCAGGGCCCACTGAAACCCTCGGAGCAGGGGCTGAAGTCTTTGCTCATTCTCCTTCCCTTTGACAGTCCCCTCAATTCTCAGGGTAGAGGCCTATCTTCAGTAGTCAGGGGAGGGAGCCCTGTCTCCCATAGCAAGGGGTGGCAGGGTGAGTGTGCAGGGGCAAATCCCTCTGCCAGATGCTGATGTGTATAGGGAGGAAGAAGGGATCTGTGTATCCCTAAAGGATACCAGAGCTGCTTCACTCCAATATTTCCTTTAGCATCAGCCCAGCACCCTGTCTCCCACCTCTCATGGGGCCTTGGCCCCTTCTGCCAGTTTTCCCTTGACATGCTCCCCTCCCCAATTTCTCAGCTGTCCCATTGCCCGACTTCAGACCAAATCCCTTTCCAAATGCCCTGGTGTTTTCTAGAATCTTCCTAGTAATTCCTCCTCTTACTTCCCCCTCACAGCAAGTTGTTTTTTCTTGTTATTTAAAGCAGCTTTGCTTGTTTAAAGCAGCTTTGAATATGTCTTGTCTAAAGCAAAGCTGGTTTAAACAACAAGCAAAGAGAAACACACTGCCCTTCCTTACAGCCTCCATCCCCTCTCATGCCATCATCCACCACAAATCCATATTGAAAACTCAGGGCTGGCTAGAAACTTCTCCTCCTCCTCCATTTCCTGGCTCCCCTCCTTGTCATATAATGTTTTATTTTCAAATCATGTTCTGCCCCACAAGCGCTGCTGTCCCTGCGACCCTGCAGATTCATGAGGGGACCAACCCATTCTGCCACAGAGGATCTGCCAAGGGTGCACCCTGTGGCTCTGGATTGGAAAAGAGAAGTTGGGAACAAAAAGATGAGGTAAAAAGGGAAGTTGAACATGGACAGTGAATGGCTGGCGCATGGTGTCCAGGGACTGAGTCCTGCAAAGTAACCAACCAATCCCAAAACATAGGCCACAATGTACAGTCAATGTAGTATCGTGTGCAAATGTACAGAAAGGCAGCGGGTTTGGTACCTTTGGATATGAGGTACACCCTATAGCCCCCACTGCTCGAGTCTGATCAATTCAGCTACGTGCCAGATAGATGAAACTGCTTGACAAGGTAAGTTAACCGAGTTGTTGGGGAACCAAGTAGAAGAGGTCTCAGGAGAACCCCAACACTCACAGGGGAAGAAGCTGGGAGACTGCCCAGCTCATTCCACTGAGCCGAGATCTGCTGCTGAGTGCAGCTTGCCCAAGCACTGCCAAGGAAAGAAGCACCTTCCTTAAATGTAGGAATGTCCTGAAAGGCTCCAAGGTAAACTGCTGTCAATCCCTGGAGCTGACCTGGCGCCAGGACACTATCCAGGGGCAATGCTGCCTGCTGCTCTGTGCCCCCAGGCACATCTACTCAGTCCTGAGCAGTGTTTGGCATTCTGCTCATTCTCTTTCACGATGTGGGTATCACAGTGCCAAGCAATGATCAGGAGTCAGGGCTGAGATTCCAGCAGGATGAATTTCTGCCCTCCCTAGCAGTGCCAGCTGGGTCTCCAGAAGGGGAAGATACTGGGGCAAGAAGTTTCCTCCTATATTTGCCTACCCAACCTTATCAAGCCCCTCTACTCTCACCTCTCTGACCCCACATCTAAGTACCGGATGGCAAGTTCCCTGAGACTGATCTCTTGGAGACCTGATTCTCCCCACTGGAACTTGTTGAGGAAACTTTCCTTTTGCCTTGGGTTTCCATCCCATCAGACCACAGTGGGAGCAGAAAGTCTGCCTCTCCTTGAATGAGACTAGATCAGGGATCAATCACTTGGCCAGCAAACTCGGGAATCAGAGTCTCCTCTCACATCCCACAGCCCATGCACAGTGTGTGAGTGTCTGTGAGGTGAACACAGCCTGTGGGTTGATCCAGGGGTTCTCAGACTTCACTGCACTGCAACCCCCCTCAGCCAACAAAAGATACTACATGACTCCAGGGGGGGAACCCAACTGAGACCCTGCCCGAGCCCCAGGGGCTTCAGGCTTTGGCCCTGGGCCCTGGCAACCCCATTAAAATGGGGTCTCAACCCACTTCGGGGTCCTGATCCACAGTTTGAGAACCACTGGTCTAGTCCTTACCTTGTTAATGGGCTGGGGGAATTAAGCTGTGTGGGAAAATCACTGCCTGAGTCCTGAAAAGAGACCAGCCCCCAGTGATTTGGGACATGCTGCCTTCTGCATTCCTCTCTCAGAGCCCTGCACACGGCCCATCAGACCCAGATTCCAGATGCAAACTTCCTGCCAAGAAATGCTTTGATTAGAATGGTGCATACAGCCCCTGACCAGAGCCCTAATAGAAACCTTGCTGCAGCTGTGACTCTAAGCCAGGCTTTCCAAGCCTCTCACCTCTGCTATGGCAGCTTCCTGCTCTAGGACCTCCAGAGCCCAGCACCTGCACAGTGCTGCTGCTATCTTCTCTACTGCGCAAGGAAGAGCTGTCCCATAGCCTCTCTCTCAACGAGCATTGTCGGTTCCAGGCACCTTCCAGGGAACTAGTCATATCTACTATTGTTGTTTTTCTACTCTTTCTACTCCTCTGCTCAGTCTACCACCACGGGCCTCATTCTCCTGCCACACAGCGCCACCAGGCTGGCAAGACAGCCTTCCCCTCTTCAGCCCCCAGAATTTGCAACAGCCTCCTCATCTTTCTCTACTGCAGGCTCAGCCTTTGGGCAAGGTGATCAAGGTGTTTACCTTGGGCACTGCACCTTCAGGGCCCCACACTGCAAGGCTGTGTCTAGACTACATGGCTCCATCGATGGAGCCATGTAGATGAGGGTTGTAGGCAAAGGGAAATGAAGCCGCGATTATTTAAATCGCGGCTTTATTTCCCTTTGCCTACAACCCTCATCTACATGGCTCCATCGATGGAGCCATGTAGATGAGGGTTGTAGGCAAAGGGAAATGAAGCCGCGATTTAAATAATCGCGGCTTCATTTAAATTTACATGGCTGCCGGGCTGAGCCGACAAACAGCTGATCAGCTGTTTGTCGGCTCAGCGCGGCAGCCATGTAAATTTAAATGAAGCCATGATTATTTAAATCGCGGCTTTATTTCCCTTTGCCTACAACCCTCATCTACATGGCTCCATCGATGGAGCCATGTAGATGAGGGTTGTAGGCAAAGGGAAATGAAGCCGCGATTTAAATAATCGCGGCTTCATTTCCCTTAGCCAAAAAAACAAATCTACATGGCTCCGTCGACAGACGTACCCCAACTGACAAAAAAATGTGGGGTACTAGCTTCCAATCAGATTTCTTGTGCTGCACAGGTCTTGAGTTGTACTAACAGTCATTTTAGCATTCTTTAATGATTAAACCAAGGTGGGCAATAATTTTTGATGGGGAGCCCACTCCAAGAATTTGGAAAGTGGCCAAGGGCCACACTCTTCCATATTAATGGAGAAGGTGCATAGATGCTGGGAGTACTGACTAGATGTTTTAATAGACGCCAGGTCTCTAATACAAGCTGGGGGTCTTGCACGGTTTGTACTAATAGATGCTGGGGGCTTCTATTGGAAGTTTTATGGTAGTGTATAATGACATCATACTGAACAGTAGCAGCCTGGCAGATGACACTGAAATAGAGCCCAGTTGAAATTTTTCTTCAATCTAGAGGTGGTGTGGAATATATTCAGCAAGCGACTTGTGCTGCCCAGACTGGACTCTGTAACCCCTCAACAGGGTATGACTTAAACTAGAGCATCCACTGGCTGGGCCCCGCTGTCAGCATGTTGCCTTGGGCCCTGCAAACTCTTTGGCCAGACCTGCTCCACCTGATCCATGATCCACTTCAACTCTCTCTTCTCTCTGGTCCCTTCATGTCACCCTACCCTGCTGATTATTTGGTACCTAATTCCATAAGGGAGCTGTCCGAAAGATGTTGAGCAAAGGAAAGTGGCATCAGTCCACTCCTCACAAGACCGACCCGCGAGCTACTTCTCTCTGTCAGCACGGGCCCTTGCACGTCTCTTGCTCATAAAGTTACTCAGGCCAAAGGTACCATCTAACCAACAGGAGGAGGAACAGGTAATGCCAGAGCTGGTGTGAATGCATCCAGGACACAAAGAGCTGTGCAAACTGACCTCTTCAGTTGAGTCCATTGTGTTCACAGCTATATTGGAAAATCATCTTGCCATGTGGGAGCTGCACTCTCCAAACCTTGCTAGTAGAAAGCTCCATGGCGACAAGGGATAACAGCAATATGAAAACCCAATGGCACGAGGTGTACAGCTAGTTCGGATTAGAAGCCTAATCCGAACTAGCTAGTCCGTGCCGGGTGTAGCCGCGCGGCACGGGGTTCGAAGTAGCCGGCATTTAAAAATGGCGCCGGCCGGCTTCATGCAAATGAAGCCAGGGAAATTCAAATCCCGGGCTTCATTTGCAACTGCGGATGACTACATTACCCCCGCTAGTTCGAACTAGCAGGATAGTGTAGACATACCCTCAGTGTGATCACATCTCCTGAGCCCTGCAGGCTCTCAGGAACTGCGAGTCAGGCCCGTGGTTAGGAAACCCTGCTACTGAGTCACCTGAACCCAGAAATTTACCCTTAGATTTACCTTTTGAAACCAACAAGCCACACAAAAGCAAAAAGCCTCCTAGAATTGTCACATACCGGTGGCTGGAAGGGGGTCACACCAGGGGCTGGCAGTTGAGTCACCCTAAGGACAGCAGCAGCAGCTGCTTGTCAGAGGGACGGCTCTGAGTGGCAAAAGGTTTTGTGAATTCCCCCTGCACATCCTGCTAAATGTCCCACAGGAGCAGCCTGGGAGCTGGGAAACTCTCATTTCCACAGATGAGGCCAGAAATCTCAACAGCTAGAGTGAGACAGACACACCTCCGTCCGTTCCTCCCCCCACCCATTCCATCACTGCAGCCATTCATCAAATTCATATGATTCAGCACTAGCTATTTAGTCACTCCTGCTGCAGGGAGGCTGTTGGCTGGGGCTAGGGAGAGCACAGCTTACGAACGGGGAGGAAGGGAGGCAGAGGGGCTCCTGTCTTGCCCCTCAGGGTATCTTGTAACCAGCTGGACACCTGCCAAACTCAGAGCCAAAAGGGGTCAAAGCAGTGTCACTGCAGAGCATGGAATGGCTCTTCCCTGCTGCACGGGGGTTTGCTAGCATCAGCTATAGCTTCTCCAGAAAAACAGCTTCAGTAAGAAACTGGTACAATATTACAAAACCTAGCCCCAGCTAGGAAGGTGGAGTATGGCCCAGTGGTTGGAGCACAAGCCTAGGCACTGCTGTGTCTTTAATCTCAGCTCTGCCACAGAGTCACTGTGTGACCTTAGGTGAGGCACCTTTCCTCTCTGTGCCTCAGTTCCTCAACTGTAAAATGAGGATCTTGGTATTGAGCTGACTCACCAAAGAGGCTGGAAGACTGCTTGGAAAGTGTTTAAAAATAGGAAGTTATTTGTGAAGCAGGAGGGATTTTAGTGGGGAGCATGTTTGGGTGGTGAGGAGGTTCACTAAGGAGACTGCTCCTACAGAAGAAATCACCATTTAACTTTGCTCTTTATACATGTTATCTATTATCAGGCTCTTATCAGGCTCTCAGAGCATTTTATGAACATTAATTATCTATGCCTCACAACCCCCATGTAAAGTACAGCATCCTTATTTTACACTTGCCCACACTTTTCACCTCTATTCCTGTCTAGAACTGCTATGCAGTATGTTAAACAGCCCCCCAAAGGGGGCTGAATCTTTCTTGGATGATAAAGGGATCCCCTCATATAAAGTTTGTTGAAATCATCATATGAATAGCTTGATGCTTATATCACAACTGAAGGCTCCCTGCATTATGCAACCACTACCCAGCAGATTCAAACCTGGGGAGATTAACGTATGAACTTCTACAGCTTGACCTGTAAAGCCAGCTGGCTGACAAGCTCCCTTGTTCTTATCTCTTGCTGTAAGTGGTCTAAGTACCACTACACAGAAGAGGAAACCACCCTAGGAGGTGCAGCCCAAGCTCCAGAGACACAGTTAAGATCCTGGATGAGCCCCCATGTGTAACTACTACTAGACAGATCTGAACCTGGGCCCTCTGGAACTTAGTGTAGGAGCTTCTAGAGCTTGAGCTATAAAGCCAGCTGGCGCTAAGCTTAGGCTGTAGTGCTCTGTTGTTCTTATCTCTCACTGTAAGTGGTCTAAGTGCCACCACATGGGACAATGAACCACATGCGGTGTGTGGGTTACACATACACTCTCAGGCGTCTCTAGATTGCACCCCTTTTCCGTAAAAGGGATGCAAATTAGACACAGCACAATTGCAAATGAAGCAGGGATTTAAATCTTCCCCGCTTCATTTGCATAAACATGGCTGCCGCTTTTTTCCGGCTCGGGGCTTTGCCGGCAAAAAGCGCCAGTCTAGATGGGGATCTTTCGGAAAATAAAGCCTTTTCTGAAAGATCCCTTATTCCCAAGAATCCTGGAAAGGCTTTATTTTCCGAAAGATCCCCATCTAGACTGGCGCTTTTTGCCGGCAAAGCCCCGAGCCGGAAAAAAGCGGCAGCCATGTTTATGCAAATGAAGTGGGGAAGATTTAAATCCCCGCTTCATTTGCAATTGCGCTGTGTCTAATTTGCATCCCTTTTACGGAAAAGGGGTGCAATCTAGACACAGTCTCAAGGTTTATCATTTTCTCACCAGGCAGGTGTGTCTGCTCCCCAGCCATTCCAGCCTTAACATCTCTGTGAAGTGTAATGCATATTGGTGCGGTAGTGAGGATGATAAGGGATGGAGAGCTGCCTTTGTAAGCAGCAGATAGGAATTCCACACTGCACAGTTTAGATCCCTGAATAATGGTGTTACAGAAAATGTGGCTGGTGCATCTGTCTCACCACTGCCTTCTTCTGGATGTAAGGTCACACATGCATACATGCACATAGAGAGACTTGCCCTCTGTTGGGTGAAGCCCAGTGGAGAGCATATAAACCCTGTACACCTGCTGCTAATGGACCCTACAATCAGTTTGGGCTGGTGTAATTAGGGTTCCAGGTATTCTCGTAGTTAGGCTGGCAATTGAGCTATTTGTATGTGTTTAGCTGAGCTGAGTGACAAAAAGGACATTTTGGGTTGAAAAATGTGCTTTTTTCTCAATTGAATTTTTTTATGGAGAGCAGTTGTGCTTGGATTTTTTGTTTTTGTATTTAGCAAATGCCCTTTTTAGAGAAACACAATCCTTCTGGAGACAGCATGTTGAGCAAGCAGCTGGGATTCTGTTCTCT